GTCACAAGAGTTGGAAAAATTCATTTTATATGCATTTTGCCCCTCCCCACCTCTGTGCAATGGTGACAAAACACTTTCATTTTCATTTTACTATTTTCCAACATTGAAAGGGGGAATGGGGGTGCTGGCACTTATTCTGTAGGTAGTATGGTTATGAGTTTATGTTTTTGGCATTTTCCAAGACAATTTGTCCATGGTTGTAGCTACATTACAGCTTTAATTAAGCACGCATTCCAGCTGGAGACTGGTGCCCAGTTTGAAGCCGCAGATCTATCGTAAAACATTTAACACATGTCTAGTGTACATGTTGTGGTTTTGGCTCAGAAGATGTACGTTTTGGGATTTTTTTTAACAGTTGTGTTTTTAGCAGTTTTTATTCTTCCCCGATAATAATGATTCTTGAAATATTGCAGTTGAAACTGAAAAAGGATCCCGTTATTGTCATGCATGTCACATTCAAAAAAAGACATTTTCTGCTATGATGTCAGTTTAAACTGATGCTAAGAATTATTGTAGTCTCACTGCCCTAATAATAATTATTTCATAGGCTTTCAGGCGTTACCTGAAGTTTCCAGGACACCCTTTGCTTTAATATTTAGATTTTTGTTGAGTTTTTCTTGTCTCTTTTCTTCTAGGCTTTCAAAGAAGGACTTTGTTATCATCTGGATAAATTCAAGTACAGCAATGCCACAACTGGTAAACAGTATACCATGCAATAATAAGTATCTTTTTTCTGTGTGAAGGATGCTTTTTCAGTGTTTTAGGCTTGCTCTAATTAATTAAAACACATTTTATTGTTCTTTGTTTAATAAAATAATGCTGTATTTACACTAAAAGAAAATTTTCAGTAGCTTAAAAATGCTGGCCATAACCAAATGCCCATTTATAAGAAAATAATATGAATTTACTACCAGAATTGCATTTTTAAAAATTCAAATTATTTTTTAGACAAAAAACAATTGTATAGTTGATAATATTTATTTGTTACTTTTTAATGTAAAATTCCGTTTAAAGAGAATTAAGCATACAGTTGTAAAATAATACTTCACAGAGCATGATAAAATATTATGGCTAGTAATGTCACTTTCTCTCAGATAAATAAACAGCTTAAGATTTTAGAGAAAGTAATTTTGCTTCCTTAGTTCTGTGGGAAGTGAGTTCCAGTCATTCTCTCCAGCATGTGTAAAACTGAAGGTTGTTCTTCCAAACGAGGTTAAGACAGAATCCACCAGAAGTTTGAGTAACAAGTGGGCAAAAACCTAGTACAAGATTATTTACATTGTATTGCAAACTTCTGTACAACTGTTTTAAATATCTCCTAAAAAAATCATTTCTAGCAACACCAAATGTTGAAAACGAATGTTGAACTTCGTATGAAACACTTGAAATTACTGGTGAAATGAAACTAATGATGAAATTTTGCCTGTGTTTGCACAAGTTCTCTGAACTTTGAAATTATTTTCTCTCTTTCCCATGGGAAATTGTTTTTGGTGTGTTATTTCAGTCAATTATTTATGTATTTAGCGTTAAGAAAATGTAAAAATGACTGTAAAATACTTCAAATTATTCTGGTACCAGATTTTTGTCCACTAAAACCTGAAATTGCTCGATTTTCTATCGGATTTCGTCTTAATGCTTTGTTGCACATCTCATTTCAGAGGACCTGTGGGCCAGTTTGTCCCATGCCAGTTCCAAACCTGTGGCTGCTGTCATGGAAACATGGACAAAACAAATGGGATTTCCTGTGCTGTCTGTTACAGCAGAACAGGTACAGTGTACATGTGCATGTACAGTCAGAAAGAGTCGTAGTTCCTTGAAAATTAATTTAGGTGGCAGAGTCGATGGTCCAACCACTGAAGTAGGATCACGACTGTGCACAGTTGATAGTGCATTTTTTTTTTATTATTTTTGCAGTCACCAGAAATGTGCCAATAAAATTATGTCGGGCAACTTACATACAGTTGAACTTCCCATAAGCGGACACCCTTGGGACCAGAAAAAGTGCAGGTTAAGAATGCGGTGTTTGTATTTTGTTGAGACCAGTACTACTTACGCTTTTGGGAGGTATCTGTTAGCCGAGATTTGACTGTAGATGACTTTATAATAATGTTGGCATACATGGGCATGGAACTCCCAAACAATGTCGCAAGATTAGTAGCCTGTGAAAAGGCTCCTATCAAGCCCAAACAAAGCACGTTTGGCGCTCGCACGCTCGCTTTGCTTGCCGAATTCTTTTTCCGTCCTCGCCGGGAGCCTGTTCACTGGCCAAAAGATTAGCTACGGTAGATAGTTCTTCAACATACAGAACGTGTAGCTTTTGTCAGACCAATTTTGTGTTGGTCATCATCTTGGTTGATCTTTCCAATGATTTGATTGGTGAGCCTTTCTTGTCTGTTCTGTGGGTATCAGTCAATATTAAATGGTTTTATTTTCATCTTAGAAAGGAGACTCAAGGGAAGTTACCATCACACAGAACAAGTTCTTTGCTGATGGAGTCAGTCAAGGTGTGGCTCATTACCTAGTTTGAAAATGTTGATATCCCTGTAATTAACTAATATTTTTATTTATCTTTTTTATTTTTTTAATTACTTTTGTTGAAACGCACTAAAATGGGATTGTACGATACATCTTTACATGGAGGTCGCATTTAAGATAAAGACTTGACCGAATTTGGCATTATACAGGTGCTGGTAATGAAGTTGTTAGTGAGCAAATGTTTCTTAAGTAAGGGAATGATGGACGCAATGTTATTGTAGGTGTGCATGGATATGGTTTTGACGTTAAATCCAGAAATCTGCAAAATATGACAAGCTGCTCTTTGGAGAACTTCAGATGATGATGACAAATACATGTACAACCATGCCTTTTTATGATGACTTTGTGTTAATGCTTGGAGACAACTGACTGACAATATTATGCTCCCTCATCATAGGCCTGCAGTGCGTGCAGAGAGCTAGATAATAAAGCTCTGAGGGAGATAATATTAATATTTGACGTAATTCACTGTAATAACAGCAGGAGCTTTTTTTCTTCACAAAATAGGTTCCTACCATTGGCAAGTTCCAGTGAGCATTTCATCAAGTGCAAATCCTCTTGAAAGTGTAGCCAGTACGTTATTGGATCAGACATCTTGTACTGTGACAGTCAGTGGAGTCGAACCAGATCAGTGGGTTAAGGTATGCTTCTTGTTACCATGCAGCCTTTGACATGTACATTCTTATCCCCAGAGGCGGCGCTCCTTTTGGTCAGCACCAAGAATCATGACTTCTGGCCCAGTCCAACACCGGAAATCCATGATTCATGGACTTCCCGTCATTCTGCGCATGCTCAGAGTCAAGTCTGACAAATCTGATTGGCTGAGTATGCAAAACAATTACTCTGCGCATGCTCAGAAAATTGGGCCTTCCTAGAAGCCCAATTAGAAGGAGCTTAGCCTCTTGGGACGAGAATGATGCCCATGAGCTGTACTCGTTTTCGTGAGCATGCGCAGAGCACTCGTTTTGTATTCTCTGCTGATCAGATTTGTCAGATTCGACAAGAAGTTTTGAATCTAGTAGTCCGAATTTCGAGTTGGGCCATTCACTTTGCGAGTCTGGTTGTTTGAGTTTTTATTTTAGCTGAGCCAAGAAAAAATACGGATCTATTGTTTGTTGGTATTGTTTCTATTTTTCGTTGCTCTGGTTATATTTGAGAAATAATTCGTTTCCTCCAAAAAATTCTTTCAGTGTCTCAAAACGTAAAACTGGAAATTCAAGTCCCAAAACTTGATTCTCAGATCTTGAAAGCATTGAGGATTGAGCATCGATTTTGAGTTGAAACTGTCATCATACATTGTATGCAGTTATAGGCTTACACACGTATTGCAGTNTTGGCAAGTTCCAGTGAGCATTTCATCAAGTGCAAATCCTCGTGAAAGTGTAGCGAGTACGTTATTGGATCAGACATCTTGTACTGTGACAGTCAGTGGAGTCGAACCAGATCAGTGGGTGAAGGTATGCTTCTTGTTACCATGTAGCCTTAGACATGTACATTCTTATCCCCAGAGGCGGCGCTCCTTTTGGTTAGCACCAAGAATCGTGACTTCTGGCCCAGTCCAACAACGGAAGTCCATGATTCATGGACTTTCCGTCACTCTGCGCATGCTCAGAGTCAAGTCTGACAAATCTGATTGGCTGAGTATACAAAGCAATTACTCTGCGCATGCTCAGAGAATTGGGCCTTCCTAGAAGCCCAATTAGAAGGAGCTTAGCCTCTTGGGACGAGAATGATCCCCATGAGCTGTACTCCTTTTCGTGAGCATGCGCAGAGCACTCGTTTTATGTTCTCTACTGATCAGATTTGTCAGATTCGACGAGAAGTTTTGAATCTAGTAGGCCGAATTTCGAGTTGGGTCATTCACTTTCCGAGTCTGGTTGTTTGAGTTTTTATTTTAGCTGAGCCAAGAAAAAATACGGATCTATTGTTTGTTGGTATTGTTTCTATTTTTCGTTGCTCTGGTTATATTTGAGAAATAATTCGTTTCCTCCAAAAAATTCTTTCAGTGTCTCAAAACGTAAAACTGGAAATTCAAGTCCCAAAACTTGATTCTCAGATCTTGAAAGCATTGAGGATTGAGCATCGATTTTGAGTTGAAACTGTCATCATACATTGTATGCAGTTATAGGCTTACACACGTATTGCAGTTCTATGGTACAATAGCTAGGTAATAAATTAATAAAGCATAGACACATTTGTTTGAATGTTATCACC